GAGGGAACCATTCCTCCTATATTTTGAGGCAACCAATATTTAGGGACAACCGACGTACCGAAACCACCATTGATCTTTTATTTTGGGGCAACCAATATTTTGGGACAACCGACATATTGAGGTAACTATTGGTCCAATTATTTCGAGAGAACCAATATTTAGGGTCATTTGACATATAGACACGAACATTGTTCGTTTATTTTTAGCCAACCAATAGGTTGAGGCAACCAACATGTCGAGGAAATCATTCCTGCTATATTTCGAGGCAACCAATATTTAGGGACAACCGACATACTGAGACAACCATTGGTCTTTTATTTTGGGGCAACTAATATTTTGGGACATAATGAGGCAACTGTTGGTCTAATTATTTCGAGAGAACCAATATTTAAGGTCATTTGACAGATCAAGACAAACATTGTTCGTTTATTTTGAGGCGACCAATAAGTTGAGACAACCAACATGTCAAGGAAACCATTCCTCCTATATTTTAGGGACAACCAACTTACCGAGACAACCATTGGTCTTTTATTTTTGGGCAACCAGTATTTTGGGACAGCCAACATATAGAAACAACTATTGGTCCGATTATTTCGAGAGATAGGATCATTTGACATATCGACACAAACATTGTTCGTTTATTTTGAGGCGACCAATAAGTTTAGACAATCAACATGTCGAGGAAACCATTCCTCCTATATTTCGAGACAACCAATCTTTAGGGACAGCCGACTCACCGAGACAACCATTGGTCGATTATTTTTAGAGAATTAATATTTAGGGATAACCGACTTATCAAGACAACCATTAGTCTTTTATTTTGGGGCAACCAATATTTTGGGACAACCGACGTATTGAGGCAACTATTGGTCTGATTATTTCAAGAGAACCAATATTTAGGTTCACTTGACATAACGATGCAACTGATGCTCATTTATTTTGAGGCAACCAATATATAGGGACGACCAAGTTGTCGAGCCAATCTCTAAAATTTACTAAGTAACAGGTAAGTAGTTTAAGTCAAAACAACAAACCATCTCTTATTGAAACTAGCGAGAAATTAGAGTATGCTGAAAGGTTTATCGAAAAGATTCACCCATCCAAGATTCCATGCAGTATCTCAAAATGGCAATAAAAATTGAAGTTAAAACAATCAGCACCATCACGTCCATCAATCAAAAAAATAATAATTTCAGTTGATTTTATGATTTCGTTTCTTTGTAATAAATCCAACAGGATGTAAGGGACCCAAAACGAAAATCTCATATCCTCACATACTATAAGTTAAAACTCTCGTACACTTTGGAGGATAAAAAACTATACTAACAGTTTCATATCCTGGGCAAAAGCAATTCCAACTTTGCTCTCAGAATCCAACAACGCATGACCAAAACAAGCATTCTAAATTCGAAACAAGATATCCAACTACTAAATATGAAATTACCAAAAACAATTTTAGGGAGAAGACACATCAACAGAGAGCATTGCTATTCTACCCCCAATTTATAACAGATCATGAGATCGTGCCTTGAAAATAAAAGGACAACAGATTGATTGAGGAAAATTACCGAATAAACCCCATCAAGAAGTTTCGGATCGATACACCCTACCGAATCAACCTTAAATCCATCGACAAAGCCACGATGCCTTCAAATATCTTCTATATCCCCCATTCGAACTTCTTATGCGATCACTCAGAAGTCAACCAAACAAAGATATAGAACCGACGAACTGCACCCCAAATGTATCAAGAAACGAAACAATAAGAGAATCGGGGAAGTACCTTCAAAAACAGAAGATCGCGGGATAAAAAACCCTAGGCGCAAGAGGCGGACGCCGAGGATCAATGAGGAGTCGGATCGAATTCGGAATCGGAGAGATGACACACGGGAACACGATCGAAATCGGAAAAATAAGAAGAAAGAAAAAGGGATGAGACTCGGAGAGAAAAGGCGAGCCGCAAACCCTAATCTTCTCCACTTTCCCTGTTCTGATCGTTATTAGGCTCTTACTTTCTATTAATTTTCCAATTTTGCCCCTGCAACTTCCCGCGCATTACAAAACTCCCGGGCAAAGTTGTTTGCTTTTTTAATAATAAACGTAAAGAACTCCAACGGCTCTCATTCAACGCTACTTCATATTTTTCATTTTTCATTTTCTTAATTTACCACGGTTTTTTTTTCAATTTTTTTCTTTTATATTTTTCTTTTCAACTTAATTCGATTGTAACTTTTTTGTTTGAGCTTCATAATTTACAAGTTATTTGAGTGACCATTTCAACATTGTGGACACTTTAAAACATTAAAATTAACAATAAATAAAATTAAATTTTGTTATCATCAAAACACCAAAACATTAATTAATCAATTAATTTAACATTAAAGGCTAAAAGCAAACAATATCCATTTTTATGTTGACAAACCACTAACGAAAAATACATAGACATTAAGAAATAATAACTTGAAGTCGTCACCATATTCATACTTTAAATTTATTCCGAAATTAATTTCTCCAAATTCATTCATTTTTCTTTTAGTTTCTATTTACAAAATTTTAACACAAAATTTATACATGATAGTCGAAACCAAAACAAGGAACTAAAATTACAAGAATTAAAATTAACTAAAATCAAAAGTATATGCACAAAAAGCATTTTAAACTTTTATTTTTTACATTTTATTTTTATTTTTTGAGTTCTAAGAGCAAATTATTTGAATTGATAACTTTCGACTTATTATTTCGCAACATGACACGTTTTCGCTTTGTCCATTTGGACTTTGAATAAATACTGCAGTATTTACTCTGATTTGCTAAATTAATTATTAATTTTAACAAAACACAACATAAAAGTTACCCAGATTTATTAATTTCAAAGAAAATCAAGCATGACATGAAATTAAGAGTTTACTATTAAATAGATCTCAGAAACTAGCAAGTCCTAGTCTCTATTTTTTAATTCATTTCAGGTATATGGCGTGTTTTTTTTTAACAATTTTTCAAATAAAATGCTAAGTAGATAAAAAATTATATTGTTTATCAAAGATTTAATCAGATGAAACTAAAATTTTATGTAAATATTAATTTACTTTACAAGTTTAATTTCAAATAGTTTGAAATATTTCAAATACATAGTCTCTTCGATGGGTTAAATCATCAATAATCTTTTCGGAATGGTCCAATTACCTACTTTTACAAATAAAAACAAGTCTATGGATTTCGTATATGACTGTGCTTAGTAACATCATTACGAGGGAATATTATTAACTACATTAGTTACATGCACGTGCAATCACTTCATGAACTTGAGAACTCGATATTTTTCCTACTATATTTCCTCGTAATAAAATAAATCTTTTAAGTAATAAAAAAAATCAAGCGAGTGAAATAATAAAATATATTTAAAAAATTGAGAATTTAAGAATCTAATACACAATAAAATAAAATAGAGGTAAAAAACATTAATAATATACACAATAAAATAAAATAAAATAACAATTCATATTCAGTCAAACACTAGAAAGTGGAAAATAAGCATACAAAAAAATGTAGTCATATTCTTATTAATTCAATAATAATTGTGAACAATAATCAGGTAAAGCAAAATAAAATGAGTACTATTCCACGTACATTTAAAATAAGTTGATTATTTTTTTTTTCATTTTAGTGTTTAAAGTTAAACATATTTTTCTAAATGATTATTTTAAGTTTCTAATATAAAATTTAATAAATAAAATGTAATGGTTAAAATATTGATTGAAATAAACGAGATAAAAATAAAAATAAAAGAATCAAAATACACCTTTTAAATATTTTGAGAGTACATGAATTAAAACGAACAACATACTACTGAAACACAATTTCTTTAATATTTTACTGAAAACCATGGACTATATAAGGATTAAAAATAAGTTAATACATAAATTATTACTTACATGTATATTTCTATTCACAAAATAACAAACTTTCAATAAAATATATATAAAAAGATTGAAACATAAACTTAAAAAGATTATATACATAAGTTGAAAATATATAAAGATTAACTTACCTAACACAAGTCATTCTTCAAATGATAGTTATATCTTTTTTTTCTTTTTGTCCTTTTGCATCTGAACCAATTCACGTGTGCACTCTATATTTTATTTGTCATTTTAAAAAGTGTGTTATACATGAGAGTGAAGAATTTGAATCCAGAACCTCCCAATCAGAGACAGATATCAATTACTGTTTAAATTAAACAGGGAAAAATAGCTTATTTAATTCTACTCGCAGAATTTTCGTTTTCCTCCCCATCATTTTTACAAGCCAACAGTACGAACAATATTTGGATTATTAATATACAAAAATTTTATACAAGGAGGCAACGGATATACTCTGTGTATAAATAGACCAAATATATTCATAAATAGGCCAAATATTTTATTCGTAATGTTTGGATTTCTCTCCGAAAAATTATTAAAATTTATTACCAGAAAAATGAGTTCGAATTAATCACACGATGATTCATATTAATGCTCTGTGTATAAATATGAACCATTATAAAGCTTATGAGTTATGATCTTTGATATTATTGGAATTATACTACAACCATCATTACAGGTTTCACCTATATAAGTGAAAAAGAAAAGGGTGATGATAGATTTAAGTATAATTGATTTTAAAAAACTATCGTCTAGGTGATCCCTTAAAAATCAATTTAAAATGATTTTGAAATTTTCTAAAATCAAATTTTTAATTTGAATTTTCTCAAACATGAGCCCAATAAGTAGAAATTATTATAAATAGGGAAATGGAGTTTGAATACGGGATCTTAAGGATGAATAAACCACCATTAAACAGATGGGTTCGGTAAATTTAATTCATATACGGATATCTCAACAATAATTAATTACAAATTCTAACTTTTTTGACTATTTTTAATTTAGTCCATATCACTAATACTATCAACAAAAAGAGTAACACATGACATATACTCAATCTAATTGAGGTATCATATTATCTACCTTTCAAAGTTAAAAAAATTTAATAAATTTTAATTTAACTGACCAGGTAATGTATGTACTAAAAAAAAGACCAGGTAATGTAACATAATTTAACAAATAATCAGAGCATACACACATCAATATTTTAACGACAATATTATATTGAAACATAATCTTAAAAAGAAAAAAAAATCAATTTTTACTTCCAAATTATCAATGTTAATAAAATTTTACCCTAATTTTATGAAATTGAATTGCTGATCTTAGACAAATGTTACCATTTTAATCTTTAATTTGTTCTGCTTTGTAATATTCACCTACTAATTCAAACAAAAAGCAACAAATAATATATCTTCAACCGCTCACTAGTTTCAACAGAACGCAGAAACCTTCTAAAAAAAGACCTGGCACGAAATTAAACTCAGTAAATTCCATTGAGATTTTTTCTCGAAATTCCTATTTCACATTAAACCTATACCATATAATTTATTGAACACGTGTGAAGTTTTTAACAATTATTCAAACAAAAACTTATCAACAAAGTTAAATTTACAGCACCTATTCAAGTCCCGTAAAAATTAATAGCTAGTAAGGATTTATTTTCTTTTTTACCCCGAGAATTTAAAGACTAATTAAAAAAAAAAACCTTCAAAACCTAAACAAATAAGCACTCGATCGAAAATTTCAGATTACACTGAAACTGAACTGATAAAAAAAATTCAGAAACGTTTACAAATTCGTTGAAGAAAATGTCATAAACATCGGCAAAATGAGAGAAAGAAAAGGTGAAAGAGTTGCATTGCGATGCGTAGATGAGAATTGAAAAGCGAAGCAGTGCAGAGAAATTACCTGCCAGAGAGAGGAGAATTTGAAAATCCTTTTCATGTTTTCCCACGGTTTTCTTGAGCTTTATACCAGAGAAGTTACACACCACATACGACGAACGTAATCGAAATTGATGGATGATCGGATCGGATCGCATCGCATCGGATCGAAACGAAACGAATCGAAATCGAGAGTGTGTGGATTCAAAGTACCAAGTTCAAGAAAGCCGTGGAAAAGCATGCGACGATCTTACCGGTTTTTCTCCTCCGATTCGACCTAATTCGAAAATCTTTTTGCTCTGTGCGGAAGCGGAAGCAGAAGCAGAAGCAGAATCGGCGATCGCATCGCAAGGATCGATGAGGAGCAGAGAGAGGAATTTGGCGATGGAAATTTAAGTGAAGAAAAGGAAAAGAAAAGAAGGCGCACGCGCGATGGGAGTGCGGGGAGGGATGATTTATCAATACGATCGTGCGGCTGCGATTCCCGAGGAGAAACATGATGGGTTGCCGATGAGACGCCGTAGCAGGGATGCTGTTCCTTTTTGTCTTTTACCCCTTTTTTCTTTCCCTCTCTTCAACCTTTGTTTCCTCTCACTTTTACTCGGTAGATTTTAGCTGGAAACGATTCAGTCATGTATTTTTAAATCGGTAATAATTTAGTTTTTGGATTGTGTTTTACAACTTTGAAAAGATAATTTGCATGAAGTTCAGGTCCAGACAAGAAGCAAATAGATATCAATCTAAACGAGAATTTTTTGTGGGGCATGGCTCCACGAACTCAAGAACCTTCTCTCATAGATTCCCAGAGAAAGATGAGACAGGACGGACGGTCAGAGGCCGCAGCGTGACTAGCATAGGAAGAGGAGTTGCTTGCCTGAGCTATCTTAAAGTAAAGTTCTCTAGGTTTCCCCTCCCAAGCGCGCGATCGAGGTGCTACCCGCCGGTTGTTGGAACGACCCCATTGAGGAGCATTAAACCTATGAAAGATCTCTCCTATTAGCAACATGTCATCATTTTTCTTTAATTTTATATGTAATAATTTAGTTTCTATAGTTTAAAGTTGAGAATTTTTGTTAAATTTCTTATATGTGTAGATAGATAAATTGATAATAGACCAAATATATTCATAAATTACAAAAACTAAATCGTTATATGATTAAAAAATTTTGACACTTAATTTTGATTAGATTTTTCATAGTAGAGATTAAATTGTTACAAAATTTAAATTATAAGGATTAAATTGTTATATACTAAAGTTCAGGTTCTAATAATTGTTAACAATTAGAAAGTAAATGGACTAAATCGTTACTTTAACGAAAGTATAGGGACCAAATGTGTTTTTGAACTTAATGTTTTTTACCATCTTTTCTTTTGGGTAAAATAAATCTTTAGTATTGATTTCGTTTTTATTCGGTCCTTATATTTAAATTAGTTTCTATTTAGTTTTTAAATTGACATGTTTTGTCCATGAAATTTGAATTTTGTTTTCCATTGGTCTTTGAGTTTGGTTTTCTAATTGATCCACGAGTTGAGTTGTATTGACTTAATGGAAAAATATCGTGGTAGTTAACATATGTTGACTAGACAATGAGAGATCTCTCAAATGACTCAAACGTCGATGAATTTGGTTGGATGCAAAAGAATCGAACTTGCTGACCATTTGCATCATTATAAATTATAACCTAGTCAATTTGAATGTTAAACGAGAGATGAACGAAGAGGAAAGGTCGTGGTGTAGTTGGAAGAGTGTAAGAAAGAAAGGAAAAGAGAATAGGAGGAAGATTAGGAGAGAAAAATGTCATTTAGGCAAAAGAGTAAAACTTAATAAAATTTGTCTACTCGTCTAAAAAACAAAACAGACATCACTGAAGTTTTAGTCAACGTACACTAACTACCATATCATCATTTCATTAGATCAACTAACAATCAACTCCTATACACACTCATGTCTATGTCTTTTATTTTAGTTATTTAAACTATTTATATCAAAATAATTTTAAATTTAAATTTAGGGACGAATTAGAAACTAAATTCAAACCTTAGCCAGGGATCGATAATTAGAAACTAAATTCAAATCTTAGGGACCGATAATTAAAAACTAAATTTAAACTTTAGGAACCAAATATGTCACTTTTGAAACTTCAACGATATTTTTTAAACTAAATTTAAATCTCAAGAACTATAAATGATGGTGCTTGAACTTAAAAGACCAAATAGAAAATAAGTTCAAATCTTAAGGACGTACCAAAAATGTAATTTATTTTTTATTTTTCTATTTAGGGTTCAAATACTAAGCTGGAATTGCTATAGTTGAATGGAAAATATATTTACTTCTTCTTATGAGTTGAAAGTCCTACACTCTTACACATTTGTTGATGAGTACGAATGCGGCTGCACGATATCGATTCAATAGATTATCTATTAAAATCTTTTTTTCTCAAAAAAAATCTATTAAAATCTAACGATCTCTCACCCCTATTGAAGTCCAAACGAGGAAAAAAAGATTGCATGCATGATTCTTATAGTAGATACCAACATCTTGATTCTAGAATAATTTAGTTATACTTTTTTAATACTTAAATTCCCGACAAGGTAATTAATCTGAACATATAGTTTAGTGAATAAGATATATATTATTATCCAAAAGGTCGATTATTTGATCTACGACTATTATTATTGAACTCAGAAAAAAAAAAGTTACATTGCAAATCCAATTGACTTATAATCAAAAAGCATGGATGTCTAATTACACCGTCCAAATTTGTATGATAATCATCGACGGTAATATATATATATATATTGAGTACAACAAATTGGAAGTATGAGAATTTGAACTTCTAACTTCGAAGTGAATGAATTCCAATTACCATAAACTATGTCTATGTTGGCTCATCGACGATAACAATAATTAAAATCAGTAAACTCAAGTATCCTAATACATTGAAGCTAAACATAAACTTAAAAATGATAGAAACTAAGGTATAATTTTACATTCATTAACCTACAAAATTTAGATTCCAAGATATGGAGAAATTTTTTTTTAATAGTGCATACACCTTAAAAATATAATAAGAGTCAAGAAAGAATGGAGTTTTATCCCTAACATAGGAGTGTAGCAAAATCAATTTGATTTT